ACAACAGAACATCAATATCGATCCAGTCCGTAGACTCCAAATCCATCATCTACAGTTAATCGAACTGATATTTCAAAGATATTTGACAATGTTTATTGAGCTATCCCACTAACGAAACCAAGATGTGCGTGTCCTGTGCTCAGTCAACACCATCTCGATTTCGATGGAGTAAACGGGGTATCACTGCTCTCCAGTGTTTCACTCCATTGTGTAATCTTAGAGGTATATTCACACCAATTTGTGTATTCCCACTACAATCGATCGACTGTGTGTCACGGAGTATGACAATTAGGCGACTGTGTTCTTTTTCATTCTTTCGTCTCACACATCATCTTCAACACAGATCCAATGCTAGTCGACTGTTTTGCACCCATCATCAACACTGAACTGTTCGTCAATTAATCAGACAAAACCACACACACAAACACACACACACAGACACAGTATGATCCTGCGTATTGTGTCTCTCATGTAACTACAAGTCACGCACTCATTTGTAGATTGCCAATGTTGGTGGTGAGTCTACTCGAGTTGAAAAGGATTGGTGTAGCCTCGTAGCTGACATCGAAGTCACACCTCACGATAAGTACATAACTTGGCTTAGACTATCGTGATAACCAGGCAATGCGGCTCCCTTAATGACTGTCTAGAAAGAATGGAATCTTGCCGAAAAGCATAGTTTATCGGAGAGAACAGACTACAGAGTTACAGAGTAATGACGCTGCCACATGAACTAGTCTGTGATATCCGACTGATTCATCCGCATCAGTCATACTCGACCTTGATGATGTTGAGCGAATTGTTCAACGTTCAGTGATCTGCCGTTGAACGTAAAACACGGTTCGACTCGATGGAGGATTTGTCTAGAACTCAACGGCACTCCACTGGCCCTACACATTGAAGCATATAATGGATTCGTGTCTCTCCACATTTCCATCCACAAAGCCAATGGACTGAACACTCTTCAGTAACTGTTCCCCAAGTGTTTCCGTGTTAACCGTAACATTCTGTCAATTGTCGGTTAAAGAAATTCTTTCAGATTCCATATGCAACCATTAATTTGATCTGTTTTACTTCTGTGTTGAGAATACCACAAAGAATTCCCACTGGCCACCAATCACTGGGATAAAGAAATCATTAGATTACTAACTGACTAACTATCTAACTAACCATACAGCGATTGAAATAAATAGAGAGCCTTCACTCGACCTTTATGTCACTGATGAATGTGCACAGAAAGAGTACAGAATGAAGGAAGTGGCAGTGCTTAACCGGCTTGTTATATCGATTCAAACGGTCGACTGTCAACACTGAAAATGGAATATGTGTGGGCGTGTGCGTGTGTGTGCTGTGTGTGTGTGTTCATCTGCAACACACATAGGAATGTCGGAACAAGTTTGGAGAATTTGGAGATCATATGGGAAACCAATGGAGGAGCAGTGTGTGAATGGTATAGAAAGGCGATATTTCATCGTCTTCTCCACATTGTCCACCTCATCAATGTCTTACTTCCACACCTTCTCCCATAATGTTCGCACTCATGATTGGCGTGTTCTGGGACGAGTCACCTGTTCATGTCGAAGGTAGTAGAGGAATGAAGGAGAGAGTGTAATGGACACGAACTGTTAGCGTGAATCATCTACGCTTCGTATATGGATGTGTGAGGGTGTTGACGTGTATATCAGAGAGCGATGATGTCGATGAAAACGACGGGACGGCGAAGGAGGTCCTTGCGGCCCACTGATTAGGCAGGCCACCCACCGAAGCAGGCTTAATTCTCTGTAACGAAGTAACCACCTCCATTGCCCGACGAACAACTACTGTGAATTCTCAGTCATCAACTTCGCATCATACAAGTGTGAACCAATCAACGCACAATATGCACATCATTGGTCATTCAATATTGCAATGATCATGTGTGCGACAATCCATACGTTGTTCGGTCAGTCAGTCAATCATTGATACAGTTGTTGAAATGCAAACCGACCCTCTCTACCACTTACCCTGTGTATAGTCAGCAGTGTGTGACACATCATAACGACACTGGCATTTCACTGCAATATGGGTGTTAACTATCAATAAGACGAAGGTGAGAAGATATGACAACAAATTGAAAATTTGACCATCCGATTTGTCCTACTCATCAGTAGTATGGTGTGACATGTGAAAGAAAAAACCACCACCAAACTGACCGACTGCCTGACCTAACAATTCACATGGCAGCTGACATTGAGTAACCCGGTTATAACAACAATTACACTTCTCAACATCACAACATCTCACCCATTCCCACTCTATTATCACCAGAACAACAGAACATCAATATCGATCCAGTCCGTAGACTCCAAATCCATCATCTACAGTTAATCGAACTGATATTTCAAAGATATTTGACAATGTTTATTGAGCTATCCCACTAACGAAACCAAGATGTGCGTGTCCTGTGCTCAGTCAACACCATCTCGATTTCGATGGAGTAAACGGGGTATCACTGCTCTCCAGTGTTTCACTCCATTGTGTAATCTTAGAGGTATATTCACACCAATTTGTGTATTCCCACTACAATCGATCGACTGTGTGTCACGGAGTATGACAATTAGGCGACTGTGTTCTTTTTCATTCTTTCGTCTCACACATCATCTTCAACACAGATCCAATGCTAGTCGACTGTTTTGCACCCATCATCAACACTGAACTGTTCGTCAATTAATCAGACAAAACCACACACACAAACACACACACACAGACACAGTATGATCCTGCGTATTGTGTCTCTCATGTAACTACAAGTCACGCACTCATTTGTAGATTGCCAATGTTGGTGGTGAGTCTACTCGAGTTGAAAAGGATTGGTGTAGCCTCGTAGCTGACATCGAAGTCACACCTCACGATAAGTACATAACTTGGCTTAGACTATCGTGATAACCAGGCAATGCGGCTCCCTTAATGACTGTCTAGAAAGAATGGAATCTTGCCGAAAAGCATAGTTTATCGGAGAGAACAGACTACAGAGTTACAGAGTAATGACGCTGCCACATGAACTAGTCTGTGATATCCGACTGATTCATCCGCATCAGTCATACTCGACCTTGATGATGTTGAGCGAATTGTTCAACGTTCAGTGATCTGCCGTTGAACGTAAAACACGGTTCGACTCGATGGAGGATTTGTCTAGAACTCAACGGCACTCCACTGGCCCTACACATTGAAGCATATAATGGATTCGTGTCTCTCCACATTTCCATCCACAAAGCCAATGGACTGAACACTCTTCAGTAACTGTTCCCCAAGTGTTTCCGTGTTAACCGTAACATTCTGTCAATTGTCGGTTAAAGAAATTCTTTCAGATTCCATATGCAACCATTAATTTGATCTGTTTTACTTCTGTGTTGAGAATACCACAAAGAATTCCCACTGGCCACCAATCACTGGGATAAAGAAATCATTAGATTACTAACTGACTAACTATCTAACTAACCATACAGCGATTGAAATAAATAGAGAGCCTTCACTCGACCTTTATGTCACTGATGAATGTGCACAGAAAGAGTACAGAATGAAGGAAGTGGCAGTGCTTAACCGGCTTGTTATATCGATTCAAACGGTCGACTGTCAACACTGAAAATGGAATATGTGTGGGCGTGTGCGTGTGTGTGCCGGCGCGTGTGTGTGTGTTCATCTGCAACACACATAGGAATGTCGGAACAAGTTTGGAGAATTTGGAGATCATATGGGAAACCAATGGAGGAGCAGTGTGTGAATGGTATAGAAAGGCGATATTTCATCGTCTTCTCCACATTGTCCACCTCATCAATGTCTTACTTCCACACCTTCTCCCATAATGTTCGCACTCATGATTGGCGTGTTCTGGGACGAGTCACCTGTTCATGTCGAAGGTAGTAGAGGAATGAAGGAGAGAGTGTAATGGACACGAACTGTTAGCGTGAATCATCTACGCTTCCTGTATGGATATGTTATAGTTTTGTTTTCTTCATCAATGCGTGATTTTTTGCTCTTTTTTTATAGTTTACTTTTTGTCTCCTATTGCTCTTTGTTTGCCTCTGGACAAATATTCAGGTAATTTGTGATCATTTCGTTTTCTTTCTTGTGCTTCCTTGGTGATTTATTTCTGCTTCATTCGTCAATTAATCATCTTATGCGTTGTTATTGGTTGTCTCATATTTGTGATAATACTTTTTGTGTTGATACTTCCAATGGAATACTTAATTTGATTGAGCTTGTATGTTTTCTGTCCGTCTCAACTTGCTAACACTTTTCACTTCATTATCCTTTCCATAAACTTGTTTTTTTCCAAAGGAGATTAAATTAGGAATAGCTGGCGCAAAATATTGTATAACTGTTAAGTAACTAGAATAAATTTGTTTATATTTCTTTCATCATAAGCTTTACATTGACCTATTGGCTATTATTGTCTGATTTTTTGTTCTTAACTTATCCCAAATCTTTTGGTTACAGTCTCTCACACTCACAGTCACTCTTGGCTTGATCTTGTATAATGGCAATTTTTATTTTACGGCGTGATGAGGTCTGGTTTGCTTGTATATACTACGCATGTCTGGAATATATTATTTCTACAGTGGAGGCTGAGACGGCGTTCTCGACTCAATAGACAGGACAAAGAGCGAAGGACCAATAAGGATTTAGAGCTGATATAGGGCTACTAGTGTTGTTTAACGTTTCACTGATCTAGCACAAGGACAAGGCCATATAAGTCGGTGTTCTGGCTGGTGATTTTGTCACGTGATAATTGACGGTGGAAAAAGTCATAACAAAACCACTTAACAAGATAAACGAGTCTTCAAAACTCAATCAGTTAAAATTCGTGGCATAAACCAGTTCGGTCCTTTACTGTCCAACACTTTTGATATTCATGCATACATTTAATTGTGTTTAGTGTTCTGAAATATCAGCAAACAATGAATGTTGTTATGATCAGTTTGGAATTGAAATATTTAACTTTTCATTTACTGGTAAATCATGTGCAAGCTTCTCTCAATGACCAATCAGACATACATCTTACCAACCCAGCTTATTTTGACCTCAATCTAAACTAATCGCGTTAATGAATGTAAGACAATTATCATTAACCAATCATATTAATGTCTGCGGTCGTGGTCAGAATGAAATTTTTCAATGTCATTTTACATCCGAATTATGTATACATAACAACTACCGTGACGTCAGACACTTGTGGGTGATTTCAAAGACTAAGAAACAAGTATTGAGGCTTCTGTTCATATTCTCAATTGGTGTTCGTTAGACTTTATTGATGGAAAATGGCTCAATGTGTACCTCCTACAAACAGTGCACAAGAATGTGAATTGAGGACATCAGAAATACCGACTCAACAATTCATCACCACCAAACTTAGCGTAGATGAAATATTGAATAAGTATGTTGGAGAATATGGAGTTTGGCAATGGAGTATCGTGTTGCTAATAGTTATAAGTTCTCCTCTAATGGTGACGTTACCTGTATTTGTTAATGCAGTACCTGACCATCGTTGTCGGATGGAAGATCCCATAGAAGAAATATTCAAAGAATACAATTTAAGTTTTGAGGAAGCCGCTGCATTTGTGGGTCCATGGGAAGGTGAAATTCCTGTGACAATGATGGGTTGTCTGAAATTTGCATTGGACTGGAGCAATACAACCCTAATCGAAAACCTACTTTTGAATAAGTCGGTTGTTTCATTTATCGATCGTGAATCGTTGAAAACTAAAGCGTGTGTCAACGGTTATGTATATAGAAGTAAAGAGTTCCAATATCCCAGTACTGTGGTAGCGGAATTTAACTTGGTTTGTGATAAGAGTATGCTTTCGCCTCTTGGAACCTCTCTTTTTATGGTTGGAATGTTGTTTGGATTCATTTTTGGTGGTTATTTTGGTGACAAATTCGGCAGACGAAACGGTGCAATTGTATTCTCTATCATCGAATTACTTGCAGCGGTTGGTGTTTCCTTAGCCCCTAATCATCATATCTATCACCTGATGAGAACAATTGTTGGGTTTTCTAGTACAGGAAAAGCCGTCCCCCTACGCCTATTACCAATTGAGCTAACTAATGCCAAATATCGATCATATTTCACATCGTTCATTGTTTTGGGAATTGTATTTGGACATCGTGCTATAATGACTGGAATAGCTTATTTGGTACGAGAATGGCGTCTTCTCAACGCCCTGTCAACGCTACCATGTCTCACATGTTTCATATACTTTTGTCTTTTACCGGAATCACCACGATGGCTGTTATCTCAGTATCGTGTTGAAGAAGCCATCACAATACTGAGAAGAGGGTGTCGTATCAACCACATTTTGAAGAAAGACAAATCAAAATTATCACAATTCGACAATTACCTGAAAGATGTAAACAAAAACCAATCTCATATGGGAAAATTATATGTCCATGGTGAACCTATAAGTGTTTCTGAACGATTTATTAATTTACTTAAATCAACCAAGAAAATTACTTGTTGTAGACAAATGAATAAAGCACTCATAATATGTGTTCTAATATTTACGATGCATTCGCTTGCCTTTCTGGGTATCACACTATTTAGTAAGTACATTAATTATAATGTTTATATAGTAACTCTTATCAATGCACTAACTGGCATTCCAGGACCAATTGCTGCAAGTGTAGTTTATAGATGTTATAAGTATAGACGATTTCCATTAATGTGCACATATATAATTTCTGCTATATTATTATGTATTGGTGGTGTTTATACAGTATTATGGGAACCACTGACTGATAATGTATTGAATATATTCTGTAATGGTGCTCTTATTATGTATTCTGCTTCAACGATTATGCTATCAATTTATTGTGCTGAATTATTTCCATCATATATGCGTTCAAGCGCTGTAGGCATATCAAATGGTCTAGGTAGAATCGGTGGGATCATTTCAACACTTGTAAATTATACTGATTTTGCTTTTAAACATGGTACGCCTGTACTGATTTATTCCGGTTCCTCAATGCTTCAAGCTTTCCTATTATACTGTTTACGTGATACAAGCGGTGAAGATCTTTCTGATGTTGACAAAGGCTTAGAATCTGCAACTGATGATCATGTTCATCAAAATGGATCTAATAAAAGTATTGATGCAGGAAGAGAAGAGTTTGTAATCAATTTGAAAACATTAGAAGACCGAATAAAATCGTCACCAACAACTGTAACCAATCTCTAGTATTTTCACATTTCTAAATGATACAATTTTAATGTAAACTAACTGATTCCAATAAAATTTCTTTAATTATGTCGTCATTAAATTTCATTATCTTTGTTAGTTAGTCCATAAATAACCAATCAAATCGTTGCCTTAGCTCCCACCACATTAATCTGGTCTGATGTGTCTGTAAACTTTCCCTGATGCATTTTACCTACCAACTGAAGGACATTATTATCCTATTATATTAGTGTGATTCATAATTTATATCCATTTTGATAGGACACGCAATACTGGTAGGCATGTATGTGCCGCTTCAATTATTGACTGTAATTCCTTTAATTATTGTACCGGTCTTATTGTTTGAAGTTTAGAAACAGATAAATTTTGAGGCGAAGTTGTCGTTCTTCTAACTATGGAGTTTACATCGCGTTTACAATTCTAGTGGTTTATTTGTAGGATGAATTAAGTCCTACAAAGTTTCTACCAGTATCTCACCAGAACTTCTTACGTTGAGTGCTGTAAATGTTTACGAAGAAGAATCGAAAGACTGTTCAAACTCGTGAATCGCCGTCCCACTATGCGGAAACTCATAGTGATGACGAATTTAAAGGAAACGGCTACCGAATAGATCTCTTGTTAGACCTGGAATTAGCTAAAGTACTTTTAGCTCAGATAGAAAGAGATATTGAGCTAGAAAGGTTAGGTCAAGATGGAAGAGAACATTGTAATCAAGTTGCGGCTGACAGGGTGATGTTGTACGAGTCTACATCTGCTTCACGTGTAGTTGGTGTTCCTCCTGAAAGGAACTGCATCATAATGATATGTAAAGTTTAGACCTACCAAAGAGAGAGAGCATAAGGTTTGATGGTAAGCCAATGACCTATTGGAGTTTTATAAGGAGTTTCGAAGACTTTTAATGAAAGCGTTGGATCCCGATCTAGGTTAAACTATTTGATTCCGTATTGTGATGGTGAAGCTAAGTCTACTATTGTTCATTGCTCGAGCCAAATGAAGGCTATCGTAAAGCGTTAGAGCTTCACGAGGACGCCACAATTAGTCTTATTCACTACCACTATTGGTGCAGCCCATTTCGAGAAGTTCACTGGTTCAATGACACCTAATTTATGAAGTCGATCTAGCTCTTGTTCAACCACTAGGAGGGCAGCATACGGTACACACCTCTTAGGTAGAAACACTGGCTTCGATCTCTGTCAAGAGGTAAGAGCAGCTCTAAATTTAGTACATTCTGCAGGACCCTCACTAAATACCAATTTACCTCGTTTTATTAATGCTTCCAATGAGTTTTCTCCTCAACTTTCGACATACTGATGTTGATGCGGATCGATTTTATGGGACAGTCTGTTAACTTCAGCCTATCTGTCCAGTCAAGCCCAAATAAGTCGAGTGATAGACGATCCATCAAAAATAATACTCCCTTCTCCGTAACTTCCTTGACTATGACTTCACAATGAATCTCACCAACACTGTTTAGCATTCCCCAGGATGCACTGTGTCCTGATTGATGAGTTGAATATATTCACAGTCTTTTAAGTGTTATATCGGAAGCTGTATCTAAGTGTAATCGGGCGTCAAACCCATTATTCTTGAGAGAACTATACTTTCTACAGTTGTGGGAGCCGGTTCTGTTAAGAACTGCCGTTACTTTGGCTTCTCGCGGTATTCAGTAGATACTTCCTGTAGGGTCATGCTGGGACAATGTTCGAGCTTGCTTAGAATTCTAGTTCGGATGTCAGCATCCTCGAGTGAACACAGGCTACAGTTAAATGCTAGGTATTTAAACTGGTCTTCTGTCACGGAAGGCAACTTGAACCTCTCACATTCTCGGTTCACAATTGCTGCATGTTTCACCCAGTCATCTTCTGGTTCTTGCGTTATCTTCAAGCATTGGTAAGGGATGTTAAATAAAGGTGACTGTTCTCCAAAGAGTTGAGACAGGGTCTTAATTGTTTCGTCAAAACTAAAGTCTCGTGGGTTCTTTGGAAGAGTAAAGTTACTATGGCGTTCATGTTTCGTCGTGCTAAGTATTCTTAGAAGTATTCTGACTTTTGAGGCGTCATCCAGTCTGCAGAGATCAATATAGAACAAACGTTCATATTTCTTAAACCAAGAGTCATGAGTAACACTTGCTACATCATCAAAATTAAATCCATGGATTGCTTTAATCACTGAATCAGTATGGGGTGCTTGTAATTCAGCAGAAGCAGGGTCTTTCTGGGACAGGCACAATTTCTGCATAAGGACTTCCATGATTCTGACTTGAGACTGATCGAACCGCTTCTCTTGACGCTCCATATAATCTTCTAGTTCCTCGAAAGAAATATTCATTATAGTTTTCCCCATCGCCACTGATGAGTCTGCTTATTGAACGCTGGATTAGGTTCCTAAGCTTTTCCAGTAAACCCCAGACTACTTCTACACAGAAAATGGAACTCGAGAGAAACTGCGCGTAATATGGAAGAGACGCTCCACTCCAAAGGTTTGTTTATGTACAGAAAATCTAGGGTCTTCATAATATTTTAGATAGCCTGCGGTTTCCGGAAAATTCAGGAACGCTATTAAACATATTAGCAGTATAGATAATCATTTGATCAGAAACTCGACATGTAAATTCTGGCAAAATTTCTAGTGAATGTTGATTGGATAAGATGCTTCTCAGAGGTTTCACAGAAACTTTGTCTATTTTTCGATCATATTAATTTGTTGAAAAATATGGTCGTTATAAACACGATCTATATGATCTATAATATTGAAACCTAACAAAAGGTTAGTTTTAGAAGTATTGCTTTACTCGTGATCCTGTTTTCTTGATAACACTATTACTTTTGTGGCATGTGCTACTGATGTCGACAGATATAAGTAGTATGTATCATCAATCGAAAGTGAAATGCCTGGTGGCAGAAGGTTAACAAGATCGAAGGAAAGAGAACGAGAACACAGAATGATCGGTTTGAGAATGAAAGAGCAATGAAGTCTGATAAATATTTTGTAAATGAAGTATTTAACGTATGGTACTCAAATTTTACTAAGATACTCTGTAATTTTGTATTCAAATGCATTTGATTGTCTCCACTTGTGCTCTCGTTCACTACAGTATTACCACATGACTTGAAATAGATGCACACATCATCGACATCTAATAAATATTAACTAATCAAGAATTTACGATTCACTTACATGTACTGACTAGTAGTGACTGAATTACTGATTCTTAAATATTTATTGTACAAATGGAGAAATGCACTTATCCTCAAGTGAACAAATAAATATGACAAGTTGTAGCTTTTCCTCCTAAGCATTTCCTAACAAAAATTCATATCATGTAAGAGCCAATCATGTGTGATTTCGATGTCTTAAGTAGAAAGAATTTTTCATATCACTTGGAAACATTTCAAAACAACCAGAATCACTTTGATTTTGTTGAATTTACATGCTGATCACTAAGTAAATGAAGTTCCATTCCAAGTAGATTAAGTTACTTACACCAGTCTCAGATTATTCTATTATGGAATTAATTTAAACAAAGTCTCTCGATAATAAACATTAGGAAAATCACAAATGCTTTGTTGAAAGTGTTAGTGCTTATGTTTTTAAATGAAACTAACTTCTTATTGTTTATAGGACTCCTTCTCTTTATTACACTGGTTAAAGTAATTTGAATCGACTCTGCAACAACTATCCAAATCAGTCTTCAAACACTGACTATTAACAACCGAAGAGCTTTGAAATGTGATACTATTAAAATATGGTGCTTTTCCAAATTTCAGCCTTTAATCAGTGATAATGCTCTGGCTAATATTAATTGTATGTATGTAACATTTTTATCACTCTGATGGAGGAAACGATCACACAGATGTAAGATAAAATAAACATAAATAAGACTGGTACATCTATAACGTTTCATATCAAACAAGTAGCAATCATAACTACGTATTTGTAAACCAAAATGTTGACTTCTTTTACTATGAACCGATCACTAAACTAGACAGAAATTATTACAGATAAAAATGAATAGATACACGCTACACATACTGTAAGTTTTATTTTCTCATGGATTCAGATTTTTTCAGTAAAATATGACATGATTTGTGTACTACAGGTGATCTATCGATTTTTAAGTAAGACATCAACACAAACTTTTGAAAGAGATCAATGCCGTGTACACATACTGATGATAGGAGTTCAAGAAAATGTTTGAACTGAAGAGTGATGAACAAATCAACCAGATTATTTGGCGCATAATGCACAAATCACACATCTATATATTGATAAAGTTTTCAGTTGGTTAAATTAGGTGAGTAAACATACTGTTACCACAAGACTCTAATTGTCAACTTGATAGAGACATACTTTAACACTTGCTTGACAGACATGGATCCATGTGAAGTGTTCTGAGGGATAAAATTCTCATGAACATGACCACAGTCAAACAATTAATCCTATAAACATCAAATACGAAACAATCAGTGGTTCATTATACAGAAGCACCTCATCAACTCGAGTCAATTTTTCTTTTACAGAGAAATCGTCTTTTAAAATAATTTACACAGTGAGAAGAATGCGATCAAATGGAGGTCGAATGCAAAGACTTATACACTACTGAGGTGTTAGCAATTCACCAATTTAAGTCTGAACTTTCAGTGCGAGAATATTAAATAAACGAATACTCTGAATAATCTGGTGTTAGTGGGATAGACCTGATCAGCAGGAGGTCCTGTACCTGTCTTAGCTACAAAGAAAATTTCATATCATCTACTTTTTCTGTTAGATAGTAAATTTGTTAAAAGGAGTTTCCTCTTAACTATCAATGTCAATCTCATGCATATAACATATAACAGATACCAAACTAGAATTTTCACCGAGATAAATTCCTCTTGTGACCTTTTATTTTCAAAGTTACGTAATCTTATTAAGATGAGTTAGGGAATGTGATGAAAACAAATTTGTCAGTTAGTTTCTTCGTGTGTTTAATTAAAGAAAAAAGTAATACGTGGAATTCATGAAGTGTATTTAATTTGAGTAAATAAATTAAATCAATAAATCATCAGATCAGGTAAAAACAACAAACA